ATATAGGTGTCTGGGGGACAGGTGTTGGGGAGTACAGGGGCGCAGGTGGGTCTGGGAAGGATGAGCAGAGGAAATGGGTCAGTATGGATGAGTGGAGAGGGAMAGAGAGAAAAATGGACAGAGGGGGTGAAGAAAGATGGAACAGGAAGATGTCCTTTTGGATTATTACAGGTGGTGCGTTGGAGACAGCTGGTACCAAGAGGATGGATGTGAGCGAAACGCTGTAGTGAAGTTAAGGMTGTCATCGTCGGGGTTAGAGGGGTTCAACAAAAGACTGAGGAAATAAAAAAATACTTATGTTTCTTTAATATCTTTGGATATTTAGGGCCTGTATTCATATGAGGACTAATTGAACCGATAACAAGTTAGCTGTTCATTGTTAAATCTTATTGTAACTTATTGTAAAGAAGCTAAATTTCAGGAATATTTAAACAAAACTGATTTAATATAGCTTCAATGCAACATTTTATCAGTTCTGTCCAACGAAATGTCTTGCTTGTGTTTTTTTCTACGCTGTATCCATGCTGAGAAAATTACAAAAAGCAGAACTTTACTTCCTAATCAATTTATTTCTCTCTGTTGTGATGATGGCCACAAGCTGAACATCATTGATCAAATAACAAAGCCAGTCTCTAATTATTACATGTGTTGTTGAAATCTTGACCAGCTTACATTTTTTTCTCTTCTTCGTGCACCTGGTACACCAGGCAGCAAGAAAGTCAGCTTTAAAACAATCATCTGATCCATGAATGGAGTTTCCATGCTCAGGAAMTAAGTAAGTAAATTCGATTTGTATCACAACTTTCACAGACGTCACAAAGTGCTTCACAAGGAGCCAACCTAAAAATAAATACAAACATACAATTCAAGCATAAAATCATAAAATAAAACAAGTTAACATGACTAATAAAACATTAAGTAATGTATTTAACTAAAAGCTTGTCTGAACAACACAGTTTTAAGCTACAGGGGCAGGGCGTTCCACAATCTAGGGGCTTGAAAAGACATGTCCCCTCGAGTCTTAGACCTGGTTTTAGGACCCTTCAGGAGATTTTGGCCAGAAGGGTTGCAGCCAGAAGAATAAAGAGTCAACATTTCTTAATATATTGAAGGATCTGTCCATTAGGAGCTCTAAAAGTCAAGACAAAATATTTTTAAATTTATTTTGAATTTAACAGGCAGTGAACTGACTAGCCATTGACTGGTCAAACAAACGCCAAGTTTTCTGAGACTGGACTGGGCAGGGTAGCCCAGAGAACCAAGGTTCTTCCGATCAATTCTCAGAAGCAATGTTCAGATTTTTCAGCTGTACTGGAATTTAATTCACGACAGTTTTTGGCTAGCCAGTCCTTAATAGAAGAGACACAATTTAGTAAGTCAGCTAGCTTGAACTCTGAATCATTAACCCTCTATGGTTTGCATAATGATGCCAGTTAGAAAAAAAATGCAACTCATTTAAAGTTGAAAACAATTAAAAATATATTTTTCGACATTTCATTGGAATTTTTCATTTGAATAATTATTTTCATTTGATTTGAGTGTCTTGACGCTGCTGTCTTTGCTTTGCTCCTTGTGGGAACTGATGAAGCAGTTCCTCTCAGCTGTGAGGCACGGTAGCTCTCACACTTTGTGCACTGCACTCTGACAATACTTGTACAGCCTYGGGATTTGCACCAGCCTCTTTTTGCCATGCCAGRAGACCAGTGACCAGTGCTGTCCCAATACACAGCTGCTGGTGGAACTGGTGCAGCGGTCACTCTGCTTCTCTTCCCAGCCATAGTATTAGTATGTTATGAACCTGCCAGTTTAATCCAACACACAAAAAATAGTACTATAATAATAGTACAGCACTTTCAGGACCATAGACAGTTCCTTCAGCTCTTCATACTGTCCAAGGTCTTTAAACATTCAAGCACTTTCAGTACCTTGGATAGTTCCTTCAGCCCTTCACAGGCCTTTCCCAATCAGTGGCTACACCCTCGCCCTACTCACTCCTCACTCCGTTTGCGCGTTCCTGCGGAGGCTTGGCCATATTAAGTCCCATCTGAAAGCAGTTAGGTACGAGGGCAAGTGGTTTATTAAGCGCTTCACCGCGAGTCTACATCCAATGCAGACTTGAGCAGCACGTGCAACATCAAATAGTGGTCGACATGGAGGACAGGACGTACAAATTTAAGTTCCACATATGTTTTGTACACATATTTACTAAGTAAACACCTCYTAATTTCACATAGACTATATAAATCATGTTCAAGTCAATTCAAACTTTATTAAAGATGCAGAACTCTGGTCCATATTTATAAAGGAAGGAAAAAATTAAAAAAAAGAATAAATGAATTAAAAAATGTTAAAAATGCTATTGTTTTGACAAGTTATCACACTGTATTCGGTACAAATACAGTCATAGCTGAAAACTCTCTAAAATGTGGGCCAAATTAAATATTTTCTAGGGTCTATTAAAAAAGCATCTTCTAGACTATCTTACGGCGTTCGTTCTCCAGCGCTGCCAGAGCTTGGACTGTTACCATGGTTACGACAGCTTCCTGTTCCGGTGGTGTGAGGAGAGCCCGTCTCAAATGAGGAGGGTTTATACAGCACAATCAAGGGGACTCAGTTCAGCTTTGAGGGTGCTTCACAGCGAGTGTAGTGTGTAGGGAGTAGGATGAGGGAGGAGCCACTGATTGGGAAAGGCCGACACTGTCCAAGGTCCTGAAACATTCCCGTCCTTTTAGGACCTTGGACAGTTCCTCCAGCCCTTCGCACCGTCTAAAGCAGTGATTCCAACCACGGGTATTTGAGCATATTACTGGGGGTCCATGGAAAAATTTCTCAAATGTGTAAAAAAATTGCAATAAAAATAGGACCAAGTACTGAGCCCTGTACTCTTTTCTCTACAAACCTGTGGGTACTCTTTTTCTTTTAAACCGTTTCCTAGCTTGCAAAACATATATCCAATATTTCGATAGCAATACATAARACAGCCCATTACATACCTGATACGCATCAGATACTGGTAAGCTATCTTATACATATTAGACACTTACTGGCACCTACAGGGAAGAGGTTGTATTAGGAAGTGTCTTCTTTCAGTGTACTTATGTGGTTTCAACCCGATATGTACCTGGGTAAGTACCTGGTTGTGTTTGCATTGAGCAGAGTGCCGCCTCGATGTGGGAGGGATCATAATATTAAACATGTGCAAATCTTACTATGTTTTATTTGTGACATAAAAAATAATGGACTACACCAAACTTGAAGGAAAAGTACCGAAGGGTGTACTGGACCTTTCAGCAGTATGACAGTAAGATGAGAGGGCAGGACAACAGAAAACGATAAGCTAATGATAGCTAATGTTAGCTTGTTGTTGTTTGATAYCTCGCTACCAAAGTTAGCTGCTGCAAATGATTCACGTAACATCACTGCCATCCGTGTGACGTAAATGCCGTCAAACTGAGCTGTGCAGGTCAGCCTGGATAGAACCACGGGTCTCGAGGTTTCCAGAAATTGGGGTGAAACTGGGTTATAAGGGGTAATGCAAACATACTGAACCCTGGTTTGAAGCTGCCTTGTACATGCAAGGTACCTCCAGGGACTGGGATCTATTAGCAGGTACGCATCTTCTAAGTACCAGGTATGCATGCACTGTAATATGTACTGCTAATTAAACTTTATTTCAAAATGTTTTTGGTCAAAAACCTTGTGTTTTTGAAATGCCCCAAAAAAATCCAGTGGTGACTGTGTTTGGTTATTGGCTGAACAAACTGAAGGCAATAACCTCAGCAGAACTTATGACTCATTTAGGAAGGCTGAGACTTTACAACAATCTATTACTGAAATATGGAGTCAGTAAAAAAATGCAGCTGTCCTGCTGAAAAATAAACACGAATTATATAAGAATGGAACTGCCTTTTTATGGAAGACATTCTTTGCCGCCACAATATGCTCGTCTCCTCTTCTAAACATTTATTTGTTCTGTAATACAACCTTCCACTATACACAACCCACTAACACTTGTTTTGATTTTTTTCTGCTCCGTTGTCAGTCAAACGCACAAAACCCCCACTTATTTTACTCTTTTAGTCTCATCCTCACCCTTCACACTTACCTCTCAAACATCTCTCAAACACCCAGACATCCTATCTCCTCTTCCCCCTCTTGCTGCTCCACCTCAGCATCAATAGAGGGCCCATCTGTTCCCATACATCATGCACTTCATTTCAGTTTATTAGCTGGGATAAATCATAAATATTTCATTATACATCACGGGCGGCTGTCGCCAGCACACCGACAATTTATCACCACTGCCCTCTCTGCCGGCTTGCCACGGCGGCTATAAGCTTTCCAGTCTATTAAACAAGATTGATACAGTGTGTAAATTTAGATATTGGGAATTTCTTCACAGACCACTGCTCTGCACTGATAGGCTGGGGTAACAAAGGAGGGAGGATGGAAGGAGACAGGAGAGGGGGGGACGGGGAGGAGTCGGTTGGGTGTTTACGCTACTATCAGGGTAGTTACAGTTGCTTCCTCTGTTTAGATGAGGGACAAAAAAGAAAAGAAAAAAAGCATTTGAATAATTTGGTTACAGCTACGTAGCTTTCTCCTTTTATGCAAATAGGGATGAAAAAAAGAGCAGTTTACATGCACACTGATTGTCTGGTTGTGTGTCCTGCATGTGTGTGTGCAAGCCGAAATAGATAAAAACCATAAAATCCCTCCATCTGGCTGCAAATGTTTGAGTGTAAAGAGAGAAAACAACAACAATGAGGCAATAGGTGACAAAAGGGTTGAAGAGAAAAAAAAACTGGGACAAAGCAGCCTGATTGAGTTTAAAATGCTTACGTAGGTCTGTTTGACCTTGTCTCTTTGAGTAGAAGGAAATAACCATAGATAGATCGGCACATGTGGAGAGATCCACGAGTGGGAATAACGATTGGAGACAAACTGATAAAAGAGGAAAGCGAGGCAGGAGAGAGATTTTTTTTAGGAAGTGTGTTAATAGGACACACGTCTATACACATACTGTATGCACTTACACATAACAGGCACACACAATCACTACTTCAGGCATCAAGAGTCTCTGCCATTATGTGTGATGGAGTCTGAGGCAGATATGGCCGAATGGCTTTCTTAATTAAAACGATAAGAAGCCTAATTGCACTGGGCTTTCATCTCATTCTGAGACATTAAAGACAGTGAAGGCGCACAGCGAGGAGAAAATAAAGAAATAAAAACAGATCAGGAATGTAACTGAG